CATGGGAAGCACTCACAAAATCATGTTAGCATTATTTGAGAAAATATTTATTTTTAAATTCACTTGGGGCAGGCACATTGGTTCAACTACTTAATCCTCCAGCTCCAGGTGCCAGGATTCTATATGGGCATCGATTCATATCCTGGCTGCCCAACTTCCCACCCAGCTCCCTGCCTGTGGCCTGGGAAAGCAGTGGAGGACGGCCCACAGCCTGGGGACCCTGCACCCGCGTGGGAGACCCGGAGGAGGCTCCTGGCTGCGGATCGGCTCAGCTCTGGCTGTTACGGCCATCTGGGATCAGCTTGGGCTGTGGACACCCCAAGCAGTGTCTCAGCTGGTGTACCAAGTGCCCAGCTCTGAGGGCTTCTCGGCCTGCCACCATGAAAGGCCACTTTGAGCGTCCTGTATCATCTCAACTCCAGCTGTGATCTCATCTTCCAAACCCTACCGTCGCACTTCACGGAGGGCAGTCTCGGGGAAGGACCCTCCCACACTCTGCACAAGGTTATTTCAAGGTCACACGTAGTGTTGGCTGAGCCAGGCTCTAGATCCACTTACCACTCTGTATCCAATGATGGACAGCCCCAGGGAGGCAATTTTTATCCTCTCCAAAAAATGTCTCCCTCACAGAAGTGTTAATCTCTGTTTATGGGCTGTGTGGACAGCTGGTCCTCTTGTGACACCAGCGTCCCATAAGAGCAGGACAGGATCTGAAAACTCCCCTGTGGACACGAGGACGCCTCTACCCCTGCACTTTAAGGTTTTTTAGAAGCTGGTGTTTGGCACAGCATGTTCAGCAGCCACCTGCAGGGAAGAGCTGCATCCCATGTGGATACCTGTTCAAGTCCCGGCTGCCCCACTTCCCACCCAGCTCCCTGCCTGTGGCCTGGGAAAGCAGTGGAGGACGGCCCACAGCCTTGGGACCCTGCACCTGCGTGGGAGACCGGGAAGAGGCTCCTGGCTCCTGGCTTCGGATGGGTGTAGCTCTGGCCGTTACAGCCAGTTGGGGAGTGAATCATCGGATGGAAGATCTCGTCTCTGTATATCTGACTTTACAATTAAAAATTTAAGTTTTTTTTTTTAACCACCATTTACAAGAAGCGATCCTCACCGCGGAGGTGACAGCGTGTTATTGAGAAGGCAAGGCTTTTAAACCTGGATCTTATTGCCGTGGAGGTACAGGGGGTGTAGACTGGGAGCTGGGCACCGCTGCGTACCTGGCCTCTGGCCGCTAGAGGTCAGTCACGCCCTGGGCTGCAGTGGACCGCGGGCGGTGGGACCTAGCGCCTCGCCAGGTCTAGGACACAGTACCCCCAGCATGCTGGGAGACCCGCCTGCCTCGTGCCCCAGCCTTCCCCGCACACCTGCGCACCCGCCACCAGGAGCCCTGGACAACAGGTTCCTGTGGGGACCATGTTGCAGAAACCAAGGAGACTCACTTGACCAGAGCCCGCACCACAGCCAGCCACCACAACGCCACCGTTCCTGGGCAGCCAGATGTCAACTGAGGCCTGACACCTGCACGCCTCATCTACTTCCGGTCACTTCTGCTGTATACAGCCTGCTCCCTCCCCTGTCAGACGCACCTTCCGTGGATCTGCTCACGTGTCACCCTCTGGGACAGCCCTTCCCTGACCTCAGGGACCCTCTTCCCTGCCTACCCAACAGCGTCACCTTCTAAAATTATCCCCTTGAGTTCCCAGCTAATCCTGCCTCAGCTCCACCCGGCAGGGCCTGGAGCCGCTGCAGGCCAAGCCGCAGCCCCCTGCACACTGCAGGGGCACGGGAAAGAAACCCAGGCTGGGCCACAGAACCAGGGAGGGGGCGCGGGAAAAGCTGGACTTGAACTTCCTCGTACTGGGGAGTAGCTGCAGCTGATGCAAGAGCTGCTTAGAATTCCGCCCCCAGCCCGCCCCCACCCGCCGCCAGCTGGGGGCTCCCCCAGATGCAAAAAGCCAATGGAGGGGTGCAGGGAGAAACACACACAGCGCGCAAAGATGGGCAGGGTTTGTGGTTTGGGGGACGCCCCTTTCTCCTTGCTGACGTCATTGGAAGGAAGTGTTTTCGCCAAATACCGGCTCCGGGCTGCCCAGCGTGGACGTCATGGAGTCCAGGGCTACCGCGAGCCTGGGGCCCAGGCCAGGGCAGGGAGCAGGGGGTGGGCTAGTCCTCAGGTGAGGAAGATGAGGTTACTCCCAGGCGGTACAGGAGCCGGCGCGCACAGTTTCAGTGGCATGAATGAAACCTGGGTTTCCAAACCCGAGCCGTGCCCTTCCAGGCTGTGTAACCCTGAGCCTTCACCCTGCAGTCTCCGCTCCTCGGATAGCAGGCCGGAGCCAGCGCGTTGGGGGGCCCTGGTATCTGGAGAGGGGTGTGCGCGGGCGCGCGGAGGCGGGATGGGAACTCCGCGTCCGCAACTTTGGCGCCAAGTTCTCAGCCTGCCAGGTGTCGGCGTCTGCCGCTGCGTCGGGTTAGGGTGCGGGTGCGAGCTAGGACTGTAGCGGAAGAGGCCCAGGTCCAGCAGGGCAAGGAGGCCAGGAGGGGAGCCTGCAGTTGGCCGTTTTGATGCCCGTTCCCCCTCCAGCGCTCAACATACAGGAAGTGATGATGCGGGGCGCGCGCCGGTGGCTTGGGGACGCGTCCTGCTGGCAGCACCGGGCTGGGAGCGCACAGCCCCGACATTCCAGCAGAGGGGGCGCGCAGAGACCCGCTCTCTGAGCACACACTCCAGGGACCCAAGTGGAGTCAGGATTGAGTGCCACCCAGCCCGAGGGACTTAAAACTAAGTGCCGTCTCCCTCTCCTGGGACCACGGGGAACAATTTAGGGTCACAAACAAGAGGGCAGATCGGTGCATTGGCCCGCCCCCCTCCCACTTGAGGCACCACCATCACCACCGCCTCCCCTCCCCAAGTCCTCCTCTTCCCCCATCTGCTCTTGACAGCTCTGGCGGGTGCGTGACTCAGCCCCGCGGGGCGCCAAGAGCTGCGTCTCATGCATCCCCAGGTCTGGAGGGGCCGGGGCTGTGCCTGCTACCTTTAGGGTGGGAAGAGGGCCACATCCTGTCTCTGAGGACTGCTGTGACTCGGGTCACACACGGTGGGTGGGGATGCTGGTGGCGACCCCCTTTTATGGAGGGGTGGAGGTGTGGGCACCTGTGTGTACCCACAGAGCCCCTTCCTGGCAAGAAGCCGGCCAGTGCTCTTGAGGAAGGCTCTGCTTCCTCCTTCAGGCCCGGTGCCCGCCCTCAGCCCACAGCCCACCCCTGGGTGCCCGCTGCACACAGGAAAACAGAACCTGAGCCTGAGCCCAGGCAGGGGATGTGGGGACGTTGCTTTCCTTTCTCCTGTTTTGTTTTTTTTTTCTTCCCACCCAGCTTCCTCCCTGGCCAGCTCTCCCCATCACCACCTCCCTCCATTCCCTTTCTCGGCACTCCCCAAGGGACCGTGTCTAGAACAGCACTCCTCAGGGTCCCTGGACGCACGTCTCCAGAGTTCATAGAACCTCTCAGAGGGTCCCTCGGGGCCGAGCAGCGCCAGCGCCAGCTTCCCTGAGACAGCTCAGAGACCACAAAGCACTCACCAGGAGGACACACAGCCCCTGGGCAGCCCGGGTGGGAATGGCCCGCTCTCCTGATTGTGCATAAAAGGAAACAGCAACTTTCTGGGCCTCATTTTCTGGCAGATCAAGATGTTTGTCACTGTGCTCAGGCAGTCCACTGCAGGCAGGGCTCCGGGGCCTCGAGGGGCCCAGGCCCATCCCCCAGTGCACACCTGGGCTTGCTAGGAGCATCTGGGCTCCCAGCCCCTGTGGCATTTCCTGTCGATCCCAGCTGTTTTCCTTCTTTCCGATTCCCTCTGGGGGAAAAAATCAGCTTGTCCAAGCCGGCGCTGGGACAGACCCTGGCTTCCAGGCGGGGAGAAGGAGTGTGGGGCTGCAGTATTGGAAATGAAGGTGTCCCAGCCTCCCTTGGGCTATGAGGAGCGTGCATGGCCACAGAGGACACCGCCAGTGCGGGCTGTCCATCAGGCACTTGTGGACCCCCTGCTGCGGGGGGCACACAGAATGCAGCCCACAAACAGCACCGAGTGATTCTGGAAGTCGTGCACAGCTGGCGAAGCCCAGCGCAGCCCCCGTGTCGCAGGGCCAGGCACCTGGGTGTTTGTGGGGAGGGGAAGTCTCCCAGATCCCCCAAGGATCAAGGCCTGCGTCCTGGGAGCCATCCTGGCCACAGGGCGTCCCTGGCTGCTAACTCAGGGGCAGACATGGTCACTCGGTCACCATCACTGTGTCCCGTGGGGGACACAGAGTCCCCTGTCACTGTCACACTGGCCTCAGGAGCAGATACGGTCACCAACCGAGTCAGGGCACCCCCATGGCTGCTGTGGTCACTGTCCCAGAAGCATACAGCAGCCAGTCCTGAGTCCCGCGGTGTCACCGTTGCAAGCCCCAAAGGGCCAGGTTGGGCAAGCATGGACGGGCACACAACAGCGGGAGCAAACCAGCCAGGAGCCCCCTCCCTGCACTTCACCCCCTCTGGGCAGCTACTGCAACCTCAAATGTCCCACTTAGCAGAGGGACCCCAAAATAAGACTCCCCGAGAAGTCCCCTCTGAAATTCTGGAACCAGCTGCTGCAGGAGTGCACGAATGCTGGCATGGGTGGGAGTCAAGCGCCCCCAGGACATACCATGCAGAAGCAATCCAGCTCTCAAGCCCCCCGACAAAGTCCCCCCCCAAGTTGTGCCCTGTCGTCACTGCCTTGCCAGGGACCGAGACCCCGAAGCAGCAGCGTTTCCTCTAACCCAGACCCAAGGAACGCAACACGCGGCATGGCGCCCCCTACGCCGACCCCAAGCTCGGGGACAGTGTGGGGGGGGCCTCCACAACTCCCCCTCCCTGCCAGTCGCACCCCAGCCGCACACAGCGCCCCCCGCGGCCGGCGGGACGAGCTGCGCCCTCCCCGCGCGCCTATAGCCTGGGCGCGCGCTCCGCCGTCTTACCGCCTGCCGCTGCCTCCGCCCGTGCCGGTGCCGTGGAAGGACGAGGGCCAGGACATGCGGGTGGAACGCAGGCCGGGCCGGTCGCTGGTGTCCACCGCATCGGCGCGCTCGATGGGCCGGTGCGGCGTCCGCTCCGGCTCGGCGCGCTCGGCGCTGTCGGAGTAACCGCGCTGCTGGATTCGGATGGGGGTCCGCGGCTGCCTCCACAGGTGCTGCGGAGGCGGCTTGAGGGTGGCCTGACCCTCGCGGGGCCCGGGCAGAGACAGAGACAGGCTCCGCTCCGAGGGGGCGGCCGGGGGCTCCATGGTGCCGGCCCCCCCGCCTGCGCCCAGGGGGGCAGAGAGGTAGGGGTGGGGGGCCGGCCTTCCCAAGCTTGCAGCCCCCCGGCTCAGCCGCGCGCGGGTCGACCCGCCGGGGATGCAGCCGCTGCGCCCGGCCTCGGTGGGGCCATGGCGCCCCTGGGTCAGACCCGGGGGGCGCTGCGCGGGTCGATCGCCCCCAGGCCGGACCGGACCGGGCTCCGCAGCTTCCCGTGGGCTCCTGGCGCTCGGCTCCGAGCCCGGCTGCGCTCTCCGCGCTCGGCGCCAGCCCCGGCTCCCCCCGCCCCGTCCCGCCCCTCCCAGCCGAGGCTGTCAGCGCCGCCCCCCCACTCCGGCGACCGGGCCGGTGGGGGGCAGCCACCCAGGGAGGGGGCCCTCCCCGCCCACGCCGAGCCCCGCTCCCGGCGGGGAGGGGGCGCCGGGACTCGGCTGTCTCCGGAGCGCTCTGCCTTAGCCGCGGCGCGCACGGGCCCTAAGCGGTTAATCCGATCGGAAAGGAGACAGCCGACTGGTTGGCGGTGTGTCACTCAGTCAGTTCATCATGGCGGGGGCGGAGCCCGGCGCTGGCGTGTCCTCACCGCTACCCCGGGTCGGTGGGAGGTTTTGGGGAGTGGTCCGGGACGCCGTGCCTGGCAGCGGGGCAGCAGGGGGGACCTGTGGCCCCCGAGCGGGGGGTGTGCGCGCGCGGGATGGAGGACGGCGAGGCTGCGCGCCCGGGGCGGGACGTGCGGGCACGTGGCCCCTTGCGAGTGTTGTCTGTTTTCAGTGGCGGCTGGAAGTGTGTGTGCGCACGTGGTCGGCTGCTGCCGTCTGCCTGCGCCTCTGCCTGCGCCTCTGGCTTTCTCTGCTATCCGTGCGTCCGTGGGCGAGGGACGCGTGCGCACGTGCGCTGCCTGCCAGGAGGGTGTGCGCCTCTGCGGGGTCCCGTTGGCCTGGAAGTGGGGGGCACGAGTGGGCCCGTGTTTGGCTTTTTCCCCCACCCACACTGGCGCGGCTGTGCGTTGTGGTCGGCTTGAGATCCTATGAGTGTTTAAGGAGGGCTGCGTGTTGTTGTTATTGCGTGTGTGAACCTGAGGCTGCTCGGGCGGAGTTCCTGGAATGTGCCCACTCGGGAGCCCTGTGCGGCTGGCTGCGCCCCGGCCACCCGCCCGCCCCCTTCAACATCTCCTTGCCTCCTCCAGGGCACTTCCAGGACAGGTAACCCGAGGCAGGTGTCGGATGGCAAAGAGCGCACCCTTTTCAGGCGAGTAAACAGCGGAGCCTCCACCCCGCGGCCCCCGCCGGCAGAGCCCCCCTTCCGGCTCCTAAATCGGGCTTCGCCGTGACTCACACACCCGCCTCCCCCAGCGCCGCGCCAAGCAAGCGAGCAAAGAGAGCGGGGCGGGGGTCCCAGCTCCGAGGCCTGGCCAACCCTGGCGGCTTGTAGGGCTGCGAGGAGCGCCCCGAGAGCCAGGGTCTTCCGACCGGACACGGCTCCCCGCCCGCGTGCGCCCTCCTTCCCGCAGAGCGCCCGTGGCCAGGCCGTGCCGCCTGCCCCTGCCCTCCCCACGCGCTCTGCTTCCTTTATTTTCATGTGCCGGTCTCCGATTCTCACAGCCATTTTCTTCCCGCCAGAGGGGGCTCCCAGCGTGGGCGAGCCAGACCTGCAAGCCCCTCCCCTCCCTGGGCATCCGGAGAGGGCTGCAACCCCCGCCACCACCTCGCCGACCCACCCAGGACACCCGACTCCACACGGGCTTCTAGGAAATTCTCAAGGGCTTCAGGTCAGCCGAGGAGGGTCCTCAGCTGGGCGGGATTCCTGGGAAGTGAGCAGAGCGGTGGGGGCTGGAGGGATTGTGGCCTTGGTAAGACAGAGATGCAACTTGCGCGGGTCTGCACACAGCTGGGACTGCAAAACCTGGAGGGTTCCGGGGGCCAAGCCAGGGCTGTGAGAGCCGAGTTGCCCCCCAGCCTCCAAGCAGCCCGATCCAAAGCAGGGCACCCAAGCAGTCCCCGCTGGTCTGCCTTTCCAGCCGTCCTCAGGGCCAGTGGGCAGGAGGTGTCCCCGTGCCCTGGGAGGGCCCCAAAGGAGCAATCCCCACTGGAAAGAGCAATCTGCACTGGAAAGCTGCAGAAAGCACAGGTCTGTCCTTCCCTCTTCAGGCCCCGCTGTGCAGGCATCCTGCGCCCAGCCCTGGTAGGCCGCAGCATCCCTCCGTGCCCACACCACCTGTGCACACCTGTGCCCACACCCCCAATGCTTGCAGCACAGGTGTCAGCCACTTTGGCCAAACGCAGGCAAAGCTGAAGCCAGGGTGGGAGCCAGCCGGCCACCTCCCTGCCAGCCACCCCACGGCGGTCCTCTCCTCCCGGCCACCCCACGGCGGCCCTCTCCTCCCGGCCCTGTCCCCTACCTGTGGGCCTTGGTGACATAGATCCGCGGCGGCAGGAGCAGCGGCAGCGTGGTGGGCCGAGGTGGCACAGGGGGCGCGGGGTCCGCGGGCTCAGGCTGCACCCAGCCCAGGCCAGGACCGGAGGAGAGGCGACGGCGAGGACGGCGCAGGTCGGCCCCCAGCATGGTGGCACGGCCAGGCTCGGCGTGTCCAGGGGCCTCTGAGGAGGGACAGGAGGGCCGGCGTCGGGCTGAGGCCTCCCCGGTGCGCATACGCACCTCAGGCCGTAGGTAGCCCTGTTGGGGTGCCCTGCTCCCCACCCAGACTCCTAGGTCCTCCACACGTGTGGGACCCCCCGAGGACATCGCCTGTTGGGCCAGGGGCAGCTGTGCCCCTCTTCACGTCAGGAGGTCCCCCTCTGTGCGCCCCAACCGAGGCCCTCAGAGAATCTCCCCCTCCGCACTTCAGAAAACCCATGCAAGACCGTCCTCACACAGACCTCTTAGTTTAAAAAAAAAATGGGGAGGCGGCATTAAATAAAAACTGAATGCAGGTAAACTGAGGCACGGAGAGGGGCGCCATCTTGAAGCTGCCTCAGATGCTGAGGGCGCCCCGACCTAAGCACCGCCCCTCGCACCCTTCACGCTGCCACGCCCCTATCCAGGCCCCGCCCCTAGCCCTCCCACCAACCACAGGAAGCTGTGGCTCTTCTTCATCCCGCCCCACCTCTAGGCCCCGCCCCTCCACCTCTGCCCAGGCCCCGCCCCTCCACCTCAGCCCAGGCCCCGCCCTTCAGCCACAGGCCAGGCCACCAACCACAGGAAGCTGTGGCTCCTCCTCACGCTGCCCCTCGCCAGGCCCCGCCCCTCGCCAGGCCCCGCCCCTAGCCCTCCCACCAACCACAGGAAGCTGTGGCTCTTCTTCATCCCGCCCCACCTCTAGGCCCCGCCCCTCCCACCTCAGCCCAGGCCCCGCCCCTCCACCTCAGCCCAGGCCCCGCCTCTCCCACCTCAGCCCAGGCCCCGCCCTTCAGCCACAGGCCAGGCCACCAACCACAGGAAGCTGTGGCTCCTCCTCACGCTGCCCCTCGTTAGGCCCCGCCCCTCGGTGGCTGTGGGCGGGGCCTTGCAGTTGGGGCGGTCTGTGGGCGGGGCCTGGGAGAGGCGGGGCCTGGCGGCTGTGAGGTGCAGATGTGGGGTGCGGCTGTGAGGTGCAGATGTGGGGTGCGGCTGTGAGGTGCAGGTATGGGGTGCGGCTGTAAGGGTGCGGCTGCTGGCGGGGCCCGGCGGCTGCGGGGTGGGATGCGGTCGTCGCCCCAGCGCCCCAGGCTTGCCCGGGCCCGGGAATCCCAGTGCCCAGGCCCGGTGGGCGCTCCCGGGCAGCGCTGGCCGCGTGCTGGCCGAGCTGGGGGTGTGGAGGAAGTGTCTCCTCCGAGCTGCTGCTGCGCTTTCCTGGCCCGAACCCGAAATAGCTGCGGCGTGCGGGGGCCGGGCGCGGAGAGACGGCTGGGGCACAGATGGGGGCCCCGCGCAGGCAGACAGGGACGCTTGGAAATAGCAAGCAGACAGACAGGGACAGACAGGGACGCGGGTCCTGCTGCTGCTGCTGCCCGTGCGACCCCCGCCCTGCAGGGGCCCTCTGAGCATGCAGCCATGCAGTGCCAAGCGCACCATATGGGGCCGTCCGGGAGCCCTGCGATCCCCGCCTGTCCTGGGCTGTGTGCAGACACCTGCGACCAGCTGCGACCTCAGGCCCCCCGCACCTACTGTTCCTGCCCCAGTTCCGCAGCTTTGTGACCCCAGACGCTCTTGTCTGGCTTCCTCGAGGTCTCATTTGGAGGGGGGACGTTTTCCCTCCCCCCCCCATTCAAGTTCCCCTCTTCCAGGGGCCCTGCTTGCAGACCCTGCTGTGCGTGCCGCCTTCTGTGTGTTGTGTTTGCCTCCCCTTGGTGGCCGGTAACCCGCACGCACCTTGTCTCTCCTTCCTGAGGGTCTGCTGGGGGCCCAGAACGCAGCCGGCCGGCGGGAACCCTTTGCCCATGGGTGTTTGTTCAGGCCTTGCTGATGCTTTGAGAGGACTGAGTTCCTACAGTAGCTTTGACACCCCCTCCCACTTTGCCATTTTACTAAAAACAGAGGGGGAGGCTCAACTGGCTAGTTGTCTGCCTCCAAGTGCCAGGATCCCACATGGGCGCTGGTTCAAGTCCCGGCTGCCCCACTTCCCATCCAGCTCCCTGCCTGTGGCCTGGGAAAGCAGTGGAGGACAGCCCACAGCTTTGGGACCCTGCACCCGCGTGGGAGACCCGGGAGAGGCTCCAGGCTCCTGGCTTAGGCCTGGTCCTTGTGGGGAAGGAACCAGCAGATGGACAATCTCTCTGTAGCTCTGCCTTTCAAATAAATAAATCTTTTTTTTAATGGAGTTGATCAGAAATTACTGTAGTTGTGTTACAGGACGCCAGGAGACCCTCCTATCCAGCCAGGTTTCTTTGTCTTGCCTGCAGGCTCTCGCTGGGGCTGGGGCTGAATGCCAGCTGCGGGCAGCAAATGTGAAGGACATAGGCAGTCCCCACTTCCTCCTCCCACACACCGGCTCAGTGGAGGAAGGACAGACACA